GCTACTGGATTAAGAGGGAAAAAACCTGAGCCTTGCAAGTATTCATCTTTTTGTTCACCTAGGATGGGAGCCCTTTAGAGCTGGGACTTTTATTTGAGGTGTTCCTTGGTATTCCCCAAGGGGATCCAACTGGGGGGAGGGGTTTCAGCCGTCCTCATTTAGGCCATATTTCCTTCAGCCGCCCTTAGCGGGCTTATCACTTACACTTCTCTGCCAAGGAATGGCTCCTGAATTAGTTCTGCTCTGTGTACCCTGAACCTTAGAGGCATTCGTGGTTTGACTAAAGTAACATTTGCACATACAGAGATTCATCAGTTTGCATGCAGCCTCTTGCCAGTACTGAATTAGCTTTGCTGGAACCACTGAAGATCTTTCATTATTTCCATTACAAATCTTTATTTTCAGACGCTTATGACTCAGCTTTAAACACTTGGGGCTAAAACCAGGGATAAGTGGCCTGGAAGATACTACTGTCGATTTAATTAAAGGAACTTTCTGCACTTTATAAGTACTAAACAGATGGTCTTAATAAATGATGCAGCCAGAGGACAAAGCCTAAAAAAATAAGTGTTTCCATAACCATACAGCATAAGAATGTATGAATTTTTGTCTTCTCAGAATAATCTATCATCCTAAATCAGCTGACACGTTTTTCTCCTTTGCTCCCACATCCAGTCATCTAGGCCTGGTGCCTTTGCATCTTTAATAGTCCTGAACCAGTTTCTCCACTCCACTGTCACCCTGCCTATCTAAGTAACATCATGTCCCACCTAAACTATTTCAGCTCCAGCAGAACTATCTGCTCCTGCTCTCAACCAGTTCATACTTCCTGCAGGCAGCCAGAGTGGGCTCTTCAAAATATGAATCTGATCACCTCTCTCCAATACTTAAAGATCCTTTGATGGCTTCTCACTGCTCGGAAGACAGAGCCTTCAGCATGGTCTACAAGACCCATACTTACCTCGGCCTCCTCCCCTACCTCATCTCTCACTTCCCATGTTCTAACTATACTGGTCTCCCGGTTCCTTAGTTCACCATGCTACCTTCTCCCTCAGGACCTTTGCACATACTCCTCCTACCTGAGCCTTGCAAGTATTCATCTTTTTGTTCACCTAGGATGGGAGCCCTTTAGAGCTGGGACTTTTATTTGAGGTGTTCCTTGGTATTCCCCAAGGGGATCCAACTGGGGGGAGGGGTTTCAGCCGTCCTCATTTAGGCCATATTTCCTTCAGCCGCCCTTAGCGGGCTTATCACTTACACTTCTCTGCCAAGGAATGGCTCCTGAATTAGTTCTGCTCTGTGTACCCTGAACCTTAGAGGCATTCGTGGTTTGACTAAAGTAACATTTGCACATACAGAGATTCATCAGTTTGCATGCAGCCTCTTGCCAGTACTGAATTAGCTTTGCTGGAACCACTGAAGATCTTTCATTATTTCCATTACAAATCTTTATTTTCAGACGCTTATGACTCAGCTTTAAACACTTGGGGCTAAAACCAGGGATAAGTGGCCTGGAAGATACTACTGTCGATTTAATTAAAGGAACTTTCTGCACTTTATAAGTACTAAACAGATGGTCTTAATAAATGATGCAGCCAGAGGACAAAGCCTAAAAAAATAAGTGTTTCCATAACCATACAGCATAAGAATGTATGAATTTTTGTCTTCTCAGAATAATCTATCATCCTAAATCAGCTGACACGTTTTTCTCCTTTGCTCCCACATCCAGTCATCTAGGCCTGGTGCCTTTGCATCTTTAATAGTCCTGAACCAGTTTCTCCACTCCACTGTCACCCTGCCTATCTAAGTAACATCATGTCCCACCTAAACTATTTCAGCTCCAGCAGAACTATCTGCTCCTGCTCTCAACCAGTTCATACTTCCTGCAGGCAGCCAGAGTGGGCTCTTCAAAATATGAATCTGATCACCTCTCTCCAATACTTAAAGATCCTTTGATGGCTTCTCACTGCTCGGAAGACCGAGCCTTCAGCATGGTCTACAAGACCCATACTTACCTCGGCCTCCTCCCCTACCTCATCTCTCACTTCCCATGTTCTAACTATACTGGTCTCCCGGTTCCTTAGTTCACCATGCTACCTTCTCCCTCAGGACCTTTGCACATACTCCTCCCTCTCAGGAGTGCCCCCTCCTATACCCCAGATCAACTACTACTCTTCAAATCTCCAGATTTCAACTTAAGTCACTGCTTCAGGTACAGCTTTTATAGCCCCGCTCCTCTGTGTTCTTGACCCCTGTGGTTTTTCTTCACGGCAGGTGGCACAATTTTTATTTATACATTTGTGAAGTCTGCGTGAATTGTGTTGGTGGTGTTTTTCCACTAGACTGCAAGATCCGTGAGGTTAGGAGCAAGGAGTGTTTTCTCAACCAGCCCTAGCACATAGTAGGCACTCAAAAATGTTTGTGGAATAAATCAAATCATACACAGTAGGGTATGATTTGAACAATAAGATCATTGTTCACATCATTCACCCTCAGAGAAAATGGCAAGAGGCCCAGAGATGGGAAGGAGATAAATGTGTTTCTCCTGTCTTGACCATTGATAATGAGCTTGGCAGTAGTGTCCTCCATCTCTGGGCAGATCTAAAGGAGGAAGTAGTTAGGTTAAAAAAAAAAAAAAAAAAGGACCAGGTTGCAACAGACTTTCAGTGCCTGGAATATTGAAAGTGCAGGACAAAAAGGGGTGCAGAGTACAAGCTTGCCAGCGTGGAGGCAGAACCTGTACTTGGTAAACTGGATTGTTGTAGCCCATTTCAGGCCATTTACAGGGATTTACAGGTATCTAAAAAGCTCACATGTGGATCAGCATTAAAGAAGGCAGGCGTCTCACAGTGTGTGGAAGTGTCTGCAATTATAATCACGGTAAAAGAACTAGAAGAGCGCAGGAAAACTTAGGTGTCGGACTCTTCCCTAAGGACATGTTCCTCTAGTGCTGTATCTGAGAAGCTCTTACGTTAGTTTTTATTAATTTTAAGACAGTCCCTTCCTTATGTTCTTATGACTTATAAGCTACACCTTAAATTGCTTAGTTAATATCTGATTGCAAAGTTAACAGAAGGCCAATTAAGTTTCAAAGTCTTAAAAAAGGCTGGCTTTTGTCCTTGGCAAATGACAAAAATCACACTGGATCCGTGGACAAACCTTATCTAATCAGTTGGACCCAAAAAAGATATCCCCTCCTCCCATGGCTACTGAACGATTAGCATTGTGGCTGGTACTTTCTGCGTATCAGCACTAATAAAATATTTCCAAAGAAATGGGCATTCCCGCGGACGCTCCACCACCTCTTACAAAGACCTGTTATCTGAACTGTAGGACATTCTGTGGCTAGTTTTGTCAATCTTTCCTCAATGCCTTTCCCAGAAAGTGGGGTTTTATCACTTCTAGCTTTCTGGGAAAGGCCATCTGGTAACTTCAAACACACACTCTCAAACCGCTGCACTATTCAGCTTGCCCTTTGTCAGTAAGTCATTTTGCAAGCACGATCATAAAGGGATCGCCATCAGTCCATGAGGGCCGAGAGGCTGGAACCCACACAGTGAGAAGGAAAATTTGGTACTTTTTACTATTATTTGCTTGGATGACTTAGGTGGGATTCTACCCCCAAGTCCTAGAGATTGCACTGCGGTAGACCTCAAATACCGAAATGTAAACCTGCCGCCCTCAGACAGGCAGGACCTGATGAGGAAATCGCCTCCTAGGATTCTCATTCTTGCTGCTTTCTCTCTGAACTTCCTGATGCTAACTTTCCAGCAGGCGAGGTAATAAAGGAGATGCCAGAGATGCAATGCAAACAGCATGTGCACAAGGCACGTTACGACCGAACGGTGCCCGGCCACAGCCCCGGGGCAGAGGGACCTCCCGCGCCCCCCCCGCGGGGGCAGCGGCCGGGCTCCCGGGCTCCCGGGCTGGGGGGCGCGGGGCGGGGCAGCGGCCTGGCCGGGGGCCGCCGGTACCTGCCGGACGGCG